AATGTAATAAAGCTGAGTCAAATATTCTCTGCTGAGCAGAAAAAAATTCCTTCTTTTTGCATTGTTTTATTATTTGTATGTGTTGGTTCTGGCAATTTTTGTTTCTTTTGAACAATACAAACCCTCTAAATGTTTGGCGTGATATACGGCATCTCGTAATCTCTTGGCATCAGCCATGCAGTTTTGGCTTCTGAGAAATGATGTTCAGTGTAGCATCAGAGGATGTATAGTTCAGTGAGTTAGGTAAAGGTTGGAAGTTTGATTCCTCACTGTGTCTCCCAGGAGAACAGCCAGCCTGTGTAGCCTTGGGCAAGCTGCACAGTCCCAAGGTTGCCCCTAGAGGAAGGGAAGGGTATAACACTTCTGAGCATCCTCTACCTGGAAATCCCTGAGTAAAGGTCACCATAAGTCAGGATTGACTTGATGGCACATAATTACTATTATTAACTGAATTCAGAGACATTATAGAGCTTAACGACAACAACAAACATGTCACATTTCAAACAGCTAGCATCAAGGGTGTCTGTACTTTCTTTTTTAATTTATTTTTTATTTTTAAAAACTAGAGATAAGGTAAGGAATACAAAAGATAGAGGTGGATATGGGGGGAAGAGGGGGAGGGAGAACACAAAATGTACAGTCATTCAATCTTTTTGTTCATGTTGCAATATCAAGTCGACTTTTCGCCTTTCAACAATTTGATTGCCCTCCAGGTTTCAACTTGCAGGTACATCTTAGTTTAATTCTATGTTATTCAAGCACTATCTAGTGACTCAGGCCATTTATATAATAAATCCCACCATTCACTTGCCTTTTGTATTGGACAGTCTTCCAACACTTCTGATAAACATCCATTTCTGCCACTTCCCATATCTTCTCAATGAGTTCCTCTTGTTTTGATATCTCCGATTTCTTCCAGTTCTTAGCATAAAGAATTCTGGCTGCAGTGACTATGTATATAACTAGGTAGTTCTTTGTCTTATCTATATTATCTGGTATAATGCTCAGTAAAAACAATTCTGGAGTTAGTGGAATATTACAAAGCAGTATTTTTTGTAACAGAGTATGTACTGATGTCCAATACTGTTGCGCTACTCTACAAGTCCACCACATCCGGTAAAAGCTTCCCTCTTGTGCTTCACACTTCCAACAAACATTTGACATTTGACAATTCTGTATAAATCTTTGACAATTTTTCCAGAGTCATATGCCACCTATAAAATACAGTATCTTATATATGTTCTCCTTGAAATTTACTGATTTTCTGAGCTTTGTTATTTTTCCATATTTGCAACCATTGATCAATATCAATATTATGGCCTATATTTTGTGCCCGCCTACAAGTAGTCATACATTCTTTCACCATCTCATCTTGCATTTTAGTTTCAAGCAAATAACCATACATTTTCTTAATTACTTGATCATTTGAGCCCAGCAGAAGTTTATTGAATATCGTTTGTTCTGTGTTAAAGCCCTCTATTTTATCTTTTCTATAGCTAGATTCCACCTGTGCTCTCGACCACCAGTCTAGATATGTTTTGTGTTTCTAACTCTTCTTTGGACCTTAACTCACAGCCATTTTTAATAGATCTTGATAAAAGTTTTTGCTTCTGTCATGAAGTTAGGTTCTTATCATATGCAAGCTGAAACTTTTCTGCTCTTTTTTTTGTACCATAGGAAATCATGCTAACCTAACTGTACCTAGTAGGGCTCTTCTTATCATATGTGAGCTGAAAGTTTTCTGCTCTTTATTTTTTTGTACCATAGCAAATCATACAAACCTAACTGTCAATCATGTCCTTCTAATTTGAGTAGTCTATCATTATCTAAAGTTATCCATTCCTTTATTCAGACTAATACAGGCTCTATAATACAATTCCCAATCTGGGAGACCAAAACCTGCTCTTTGTTTGGCATCTTGCATTGCTTTGATTTTAATTCTTGGTTTAGGAGTTGATGCCAGCCATTGAGGAAAAGAGGAGAGCTCTAGCAGCATACAAAGCCTGTCCTAGTGAGTACAACTTGCAAGCTCTTTGAGTTGCTCATAGCAAAGTCCAACAGGCTGCCAGGAAATGTTCTAATATTTATTGGCTTCAGCTCTGCTCTCAGAAACAGAAAGCAGCGGACACAGGTAACATCAAGGGAATGTATGACAGTATCAAGCAGGCTTTAGGTCCAATACAGAAGAAATCTACTCCTTTAAAGACCGAGCACAGCAGATGGAACGCTGGGTGCAGAACTACTCTCAGCTATATTCTAGAGAATGTAGTAACTGAAGAGGCATTAAATAACATTGAGTGCCTGCCTGTCTTGGAAGAGTTGGACAGTGAACTCTTCCAAGACAGGCAGAAATAAAAGTGGCCTTGGATTCCCTTGCCTCCAGCAAGGCACCTGGAAAGGATAACATCCCTTGAAGTGCTAAAGTGCTGTAAAGAGATCAACACCGCCTTGACTCCTTAACATCATCAGGTCCTTTCATGAGGAAATGAAGGGCACTGTAGTTTTTTTATGGCTCAACATCAGAACCCTTTGACATCCGAAGCAGGAGTGAAACAGGGCTGTGTCCTCACGCAGACCCTGTTTGGGATCTTTTTTGCTGTCATGCTGAAACATGCCTTTGGAACTGCAACAGAAGGTGTCTATCTCCAAACTAGATTAGATGGAAAGCTCTTTAATCTCTCTAGATTGAGAGCGAAGACCAAATCCAGCTGAAATGCATGTGGGACTTCCTCTTCTCCAATGATGCAGCTGTTGTTGCCCATTCTGCTGAAAAGCTCCAATAACTTATGAATTGTTTTAGTAAGGCCTGCCAAGATTTTGGACTAACAATCAGCCTGAAGAAAACACAAGTCATGGGCCAGGGCATGGACTCACCTCCCTCTATTACCATCTCCACACAAGAATAGGAGGTTGTTCATGCCTTTGCGTACCTTGGCTCAATGATCTTTGAAGCCCTCTCTCTAGATGTCGAGCTGGATAAATGCATTGGTAAAGCAGCTACCATGGTCTCTAGACTAACAAAAAGAGTATAGTTCAATAAGAAGCTGACAACATATACCAAGAGCCTGTGTCCTGAGTACCCTCCTGTATTGCAGTGAATCCTGGACCCTTTGCACGTGGCAGGAGAGGAAGCTGAACACGTTCCATATGCATTGTCTCCAATACATTGTTTGGTATCATCTGCAGGATAACTTTCCAAATAGAGTAGTCCTAGAATGAGCTGGAATTTTTAGCATGTATACATTACTGAAACAGCGATGTCTACGTTGGCTCGGGCGTGTCATGAGAATGGCTGACGGTCAGATTCCAAAAGATCTCCTTTATGGAGAATTAGTACAGGGAAATCGCCCCAGAGAGAGACCACAGCTGTGATACAAGGATATCTGCAAGCGGGATCTGAAGGCCTTAGGAATGGAGCTCAACAGATGGGAAACCCTGACCTCTGAGCATTCAGCCTGGAGGCAGGTGGTGCCTCATGGCCTCTCCCAATTTGAAGAAACCCTTGTCCAGCAGGCCGAGGCAAAGAGGCAGTCCCGAAACCAGCCAAATCAGGGAGCTGGACAGGGGACAGACTGTATTTGTCTTCAGCGTGGAAGGGATGGTTACTCTCGAATTGGCCTTCTCAGCCACACTGGATGCTGTTCCAAGACCTCTATCCAGAGGTCATTACCATAGTCTCTTGAGACTGAAGAAGGCCTACTGTACTGGCACCCAGACTGGTAATAATGATCCAGAAAGATGAAGGAAAAAGGTTTTCTGCTTCCAAATCAGATGGTGCCTCTTTGCCAGCTTCCTGCTGTGTTTGTTCTGGCCATCTATCAACCACAATCTGGAGAAATCCTGTTTTAGACTCCCTCTCCCAGCTATCTTCTGAAAGCTGCAGTGCCCCAAAATAACGATCAGGTCTCAGGGAGTTCAGACAGAGATTAACTGTACTGAAATTCCAGCCTGGCCATGAGTCAGAGTCAAGCAGCTTACCTCAGGACAGATACGGATATTATATATCAGTCATAGCTGGAACTGGAAGGACAAAAGATCTATTAATTAGGGCTGTACACCACAGATGGACAGATTCCAAGTTCTGAAGTGAATCGTCTTGATTCCAATCAATTTGTATGAGGTCCGATGGTGGTGGTGAAGATTTACTGTATTTTTCGCACCATAAGACACACTTTCCCCCCACAAAACAGGGGGGTGGAAAGTCTGTGTGTCTTATGGAGCGAAGAAAACAGATTATATTTTCCTGTTTTCTTCTCCTAAAAAATTGGTGTGTCTTATGGAAAGGTGCGTCTTATGGAGCAAAAAATACGGTAGTTTTGGGTCAAAGCAGTTTATAAATATGTTTCAGATTGAACTGGATGGAGCACAAATTGTTTCAGCCTCTTCTCTCTCCCCCCCCCCGCTTTGTTTCCTTCTGTTTCTTTCCTTCTGTCTTTTTAAAGGCAGGCAGACAGACAGAAAGACGGCACATTTAGAAGATCCTGCGATGTGAATCCATGAAGCTGGGGGTTTACAATTTGGTAGAATCACCTTGCTTCTTTCAGGTCTATAAATGTCATCAAATTTCATGTCCATCAGTATGAAAACCAATGATGATGATGATTTTCCTCTCTTATTTTTTAACAGCTGTTTTTGCAATCAGGCAGCAAAAGAGCACAGCAACCTATCAGCGATTGAATTTGTTGTTATTTTATTCTTACTGTTACAGATGGGGACTGTTCATTCCCATGCATCAGAGTAACTCAGCTGGCTTTGAGTAGTATATATTTTGATTAAGGTGAGTGGGAGGCGCATCATTTGCTATCTGACATCAAACCACCAAATGTCTTGAACCAGCCCTTGGACTATGCTCTCCTTCGCTCATTGTCTTGTGTCATTTAACCCAGATTTCTCCTCCCTTTGTCATGTAGGTCACTTCCTGTCTGGAAATCTCTTGAGCACAGTGACCAGAATCCACCACCCCATATTAACTCTGGCTGGCCGTTGACCTTTGTTTCCTAATGGGCAGTCTTCTCCCTCATCTTGTGCTGGTCTCTTGGCTGACCAACCTGCTGATCCTGGGCGTTTCCAGTCAGACGGTCCACAGCTTCAGAGACAGCACTGTCCCTTTGGAGGTTCTGGACCAAGAGAAAGCCTACAGCCTTATCCAGCCGGGCATCTTCCCGGGCTCCAGAGCTCAGGCCAACCAGTCAGGAGACCTTCTCAGAGATGTCCTCACACCGGCCCCTCAGCCCTCCGTCATGTGCTCAAAGCCAACAGAGATCCGGCACGCCTTCAAGTACATCAACACTTTTGTGTCTTGCACTATCTTCATGGTGGGCATCATCGGCAACTCTACCCTCTTGAGGATCATCTACAAAAACAAGTGCATGAGGAACGGGCCAAATGTCCTCATTGCCAGCCTGGCTCTCGGGGACCTTCTTTACATCCTCATCGCCTTGCCCATCAATGTCTATAAGGTAAGCGGCTTGCCTAAGGGGGAGCAGGGGGGAGAGAGAGAGAGAAACAGAGCTCCCCCTGCTGCTTGGGTGAGGTCATGGCACTGCCTGGATGCCTCCTTTTTGGAACCAAGGGACAGAATCCTACCAAGCTTCCACGGAGCAAGAAATCCTGCTCGTATATGGGCTTGCACACATATTGCTACTGCAAGTGTTTTTGGAGATGGCTGCTCGTGTTGCAGCAACTCCTGTGCAAGGCAGCACCATTCCACACTATTGCGCTGCAGGGACTTTCCACTCCACAGGTTCTTTGTGGGAGACTAGCCAGGTTCTTTGTAGAAAGTGTCTCGAAATTCGTTGGTTGCCAATACTGTAATATGGGCAACTGTAATTCAAGAAAACAGTTCTTCCAAGCTCTGCTAATACAGCCCATGCTTTATGCACCCCAAACTCTCAGTCTCTTTCCTTTTCAATTGAGCTTCGCTTGCAGATGGATCTTCAAGATTTAAGCATCAGATCCTTCTGAAATGGGATAGCTGAAACCTAAAGGGTTGCTCCACTTATGGCTCCCCAAGCTTTCGGCTCTCCATCACATCTACTTTGGCCCTCTGTTTTACCAAAGTGGGAGGCTCATTCAGGGAAGCTCACTGTTAATTTCCAAGTCGTTTGTGTTGTTGTTATGTGCGCTGAAGTCACCCCCGACTTATGGATGAGGGACCTCCAAAATGTCCTTTTTCTCAGCTATCCCAGCTCAGCTCTTGCAAACTCAAGCCTGTGGGTTCTATGATGGGGTCAGTCCATCTCGTATTTGGTCTTCCTCTTTTCCTGCTGTCTTCCACCATCCCCAGATGTTATCATCAAAGCATCCAAGCAGAGGCCTCCATTTTAAAAAAAATTCTACCATTGCTGTGCTGGCGGTGGTGCTGGTATTGGTGTTTTTGCGCTCAATGGCAACAGAGGAGACAATAGCGCTTCTGTTATACAGTGCAAACTGCCAGAGGTTAGTCAGATGTCAGAAAGGCAGTAAAATCTAGCCCTCTCAGCTAGGAGTTCTGGCAGAGCTAAACACCCTTATGGAACATTTCAGTCTCGTGGGCCCCTTCCAAGATTTCAGGTTGTTTTTTGGATCTTAGCGTGGGCAACTCCTGATTTAAAATGAGTCAGGGAGCGCCTTGGCTGGGAGTCAAAACAGTTGCAAACCCTTAAGAGGGTAGCATACCCGCTGGGGCTGCCTTAGCTGTAGGGTGAACATCTAGATGAATGTATGGGTTTTGTTGGGCTTGGCAGCTTTTGATGTTGACAATTTCTCATTTCCCAGGGCTTAAAAAAAGTTGTTTTGAATGTCCATCTCCCATCAACCCCAATCCTAGTGGTGCCTATGAGAATTGTAGTTGTAGAGGGTTTTGTTTTGTTTTGTTTTTGTTTTGGAGTTGCAGTCCAAAAAAAAAGAGTCCAAATTCTGTCTCAGACAGCAAGTTCGTTTCCAACTGTGTTCACATTAGTTTGCAAACCAGACAAAATGTATGCAAAGAAATTCCACGTGAACCTTTGTTTAACCGTTTGTGCATTTCTGCACATGGTCCCTAAAATAAAATATGTTTGCAGACAGATTACCTCACTTGCACATTTTCTGCAAGTTTTCTTGTAAATGAATGCATTTTGTAGGTATTTACATACATGCCTCTAATATACGCACTTGAAAGTGTGTTTTTAGTTGTAATCTCAGCATTCCAGAAGCTGCATGTTGTGGTGCACAAATACATCCCAGTTCATACAGGAATTCAACAGATCGAAATCTTGTTAAATGTGGATCTCATAATTTTTCCTAGCATCCCTTCTTAGCATTGATACAGGAGGCCGAAATTCTTCTGCCACCTGCTGTCTGGAATGGGCATTGAAGTGGTGACACTGATTTCTTCCCTGAGTGGGACTTCTTAGCAAATCCCTTGCTCTATGTTGAGAGAGAGTTGTAGTAGTGATGAACTATGATCCATTGCTCTATGTTGAGAGAGAGTTGTAGTAGACAGAGTGATGAACTATGATCCACGAAGGTAAAGGTAAAGGTTCCCTTTGACAATTTTTGTCTAGTCATGTTCGACTCTAGGGGGTGGTGCTCATCCCAGTTTCCAAGCCATAGAGCCAGCGTTTTGTCCGAAGACAATCTTCCGTGGTCACATGGCCAGTGCGACTTAGACACGGAACACTGTTACTTTCCCACCGAGGTGGTCCCTATTTATCTACTCGCATTTGCATGCTTTCGAACCGCTAGGTTGGCGGGAGCTGGGACAAGCGATGGGAGCTCACTCCGTCGCTGCGTGGATCCGGTCTTACGACTGCTTGGTCTTCTGACCCTGCAGCACAGAGGCTTCTGCGGTTTAGCCCCTAGCGCCACCACGTCCCTACATGATCCAGGAAACCTTGGTTCAAATTCCTGCTTGGCTATGGAAACTCATGTGTGTGTGTGTGTGTGTGTGAGAGAGAGAGAGAGAGAGAGAATGATAAAGGTAAAAAAGGTAAAGGTAAAGGTTCCCCTTGACATTTAGTCCAGTTGTGTCCGACTCTAGGCGGCGGTGCTCATCTCCATTTCCAACCCATAGAGCTAACGTTTGTCACGTGACCAGCATGACTACACATGGAACACCGTTTTTACCTTCCCACCGGGGTGGTACCTATCTATCTACTCACATTTTTTTGCATTTTGCATGCTTTTGAACCGCTAGGTTGGCAGGAGCTGGGACAAGCGACGGGCACTCACTCCGTCACGTGGATTCGATCTTACGACTGCAGGTCTTCTGACCTTGCAGCACAGAGGCTTCAGCAGTTTAACCCGCAGCGCCACCACATTAAACCACTCCTTAAATATCTCACATACCTTGAATACCTTATTGGAATGCCTATACCTCAGATGCAATTTGACGGCACATAACAACAACACAGTGAAAGTAGGAACAGGAAGCGCTAGACACACACACAGTTATTTATCTTTAAAGATACAGTGGTGCCTCGCATAGCGAGGTTAATCCGTTCCGGATTAACCTTCGCTATAGCGAAACATT